ATGTACTATAAATTAAATAAATAACTATAAAAATATAAAGTGTAAATATTAAAAATATTTTTCATAGTATATATAACATATAATAATATAATTAAGTAAAAAACTATTCAATATTGGACTCATTTCGAAGGTATTAACGAGACGATTATAATGGTGTGACTTGTTAAAATAAAAATGCACTTTTAAGCATGTTTTAATTGATATACAATTATGTACGTTAATTTGATAAATGTGTAAAATAAAAAATTTAAAAGCAAATGATGTAAAGTAAATTAATTAACTAACTAATTATAAGGGAATGTAAATTTAAAATTGAAATTTTAAAAAATTCGATGTAGAGGGCGTGAGTATGTGAAGATGTGAGTGAGGAGGAGGGGGGTGAGAAGTAACGTAAGGGGGTGGTGGGGATATCAACCCCTGCTCAAACATGTTTTAGATTTATCCTTTCTGGCAGTCTTGTGGTTAAATACTCATCGAAGAGACATCATTTTGTTTTTTGTTTTTTTGGAAAGGGGGGGGGGGGGGGGGGTTGATGCTAATTAATGTCAATATGACTGATCAATATGGTGATTGTCATTAGATGGTAGAGACAACTAAATAGCTAGAATGAGAGAGCTTGTAGGCACCTGGTCCAAAGGTGTATTCTTTCTGTTTAATATTATCAGGCATCACGTAAACCATAACCAGTTACCTCCAACATCCCCATGCCACGTGTCATCATATCAATTAAAACCACAATCTCAATCGCCCAACTTTCATCGCCTGAATCAACATTCGAGACCCAATCTCTCAAAAGATCACAATTTGCAATCAGGGTATGTCACGAGAGTGTGAGAGAGTAGCTCAAAATGCTTTTGGTACTAATTAACCATCTTCGAGATGGAAACTGCTTTTGGTACTAACCATCTTCATGATGGATCTGGCAACGGCCATTTATCAGAGGGTGTTACTTCGCAATTACTTCAGAACCTACTCCATCGATCCCAAGATTGGTGTCTTGAATTATGTCGATTTCTAATTTTGTTCAATTCAATTGAAATTGGATAGATTCAACGGCATATGAGTATATGATATTTTTAACTTGTTTTTATTAAACATGTAATAAGGAAAGTATAAAACTACAATTTACGCTTGTTTAATTAGCTATTTTGACATTGTTTTATGGTATTCAAATAGACATTCTGTTATTTAATTGAACAACATCTGAAATTGTTGGAAAGTCAAACATGGTTGGGGGTGTTATTCGGTGGTGTTGCCGCCGACGCCACCTTCCCTCCACGCTCCGACCGGCTGTTCTCGGCAAACCTCACACTTGCTTGGTGCATCCCTTTCTGCTTCTCTTCCTCCGTCCACTCTGAAACATAGTAATGCTCTTCGCTGCCTTTTACAACGTCTTCACTCGCCGGAAAAAACATGCTTCCCCATTGTGGGAAGTGAACAAAACTCACCGGAATTGTGCAAATTACTATCATGATACCCATGTAAGACAATCCTTTCGCCGTCGAGAATGATGCACTCGCAAAGAATATCAACTGGGTTAGCCCTGATCCGAAGTTCCCACCAGCACCCGTCATCCCTGAGATGATGCCCAGGGACCGCCGGGAAATGAAGGGAATGATACCGAACGTGGCTCCACATGCCGCCTGTGCTCCGATGGAGAAGAGGATCATAAAGGTGATGGCTAAAGGCAGCGAGTTCACTAGGCCGAGTAAGAGGCAACAAACACCGCCAGCTGTTTGGAGGAGCCATAGGTTCCAGAGTCGACCTCGCATTCCCCATCGTTTCGCCATGTAATCCGATGTGAACCCTCCAAAGGGTCGAGCTAAGAGGTTTGCCATTCCGAAAGTGGCCGCAATGATTCCGGCTAGGTGAAGCTTTAGATCAAATCTATCATTCATTACAATAAATAAAAAACTTAATTGATTTTTGTAGTAAATATGTCACTGATTGTTAGACAGAATTTCGCATAACAAATAAATCTGATTATTTTTTATTTTTTAGATCTAAACTTATTTAATCAAACATGGATGCAGTTTATACTTTATAATTAAAAAATAAAAATATATATAGTACCTGTCGTAGAAGTATTCTGCAATCACGTTATCGATCGTTAACTCGACGCCCATCGAGTAGCCATAGAGAAGAACAAAAATCCATGTCCGATAGTTTGTCGCAGCATACCATAATATCTAAAATCAGAAAACAAAACCAAATTAGTAAATAGTAAATAGTAGGCATTGGATCTGAACCCTAAGTAGGTATGAATGTGTGTACCTTGCCGAATTTATCTTTGGCAACATCACCCTTCTTCTGAAGAGCACCAAGGTTACCATCAGGCAAATCTTGGCCAAGAGTCAACACCAGTATCCCCATGATTACGTTAAGCCACCCAGGTATGAAAAACGCTATCCTCCACGCCGTAAACGGTGTCGCTCCCGCCTTCTTGATAATCTCAAACAACACCGGCATCAGGAGCTGCGTGGCTCCGCCACCCATGTTTCCCCACCCGGCAGCCGTCCCATTCACAAGCCCGATAATCTTGCTGTTAAACATGGTACTCATCCAGTACTGGCACGACACAAACGTAGCCAAAGAAAACCCGATCATGAAYCGCACAGCTATGTAGCCACTAGCGTCAGCGACGAATGACATGCAGAACACAGTGGGTGCCGACATCATGATAAGGAAAGCACAGCCGTAACGAGGTCCCAACAAGTCGCATACAGCACCCATCACCAGCCTGGAGAAAATACTACCGGAAACTGAGGCAACCCCAGCGTTTCCTATGTCGGCTTTTGTGAGATTGAGATTGTCGCGGATGATGGGAACCAGCGGAGCAGCGGCAAAGGTGGAGACGAAAGTGGTAAAGAAAGAGATCCAGGAGAGGTGGAAGGTTCTCATGTGAGGGTTTGCAAATGAGAAGAGCTTAAAGACTTTGGCCTTGTGTTCGGAGTCCACCGGGAGGTCGAACTTGGCGGTGGTATCAGTGGGAACCATGGGAGACGCGACAGAGAAGGCCAGCACTGGTTCCCGACCGGTGACTCCATGCATGGAGGTTCCCGGAGAACCTTCAATCTCAGGCATTGTAACTTGAATTCTTACTTAATTTCTCTCTCCAACAGTAATATTTTCTTCTTGTTGTGTTGCTGATATCTTTTCTGGAGCAATGATCGAGGTAGAGTTTATATATAGGCCTCGGGAGACCAATAAAGGTGGATTTATGTTTGTAAATATGGTCAAAGGGTTGACAAATGAGAAGGGGTTAATTTAGATACCCAGAGGAATTCCCAAAAGGTTGTGATCTTTTATGTTTAAGGAATCCAGTGCGCCGCATCCTACGTAAAGGAATAGTGTTTAGGCTCATCGGATATCCCAAAAGATACAGAGTAGGAACTTCAGAAGGAAATTTGGTTTATATGCTCAGTCATACTAAATATATATATACAAGCTCCATGTTGTTCTCTTTTAAAAAAAAAATGTTTGAAGTATTGTATCGTATTTCAGTTGAGAAATAAAGCTACCAGAAAATGTCTTTGGCCTAGCGGTATGTGAGTCATTTGTCTTCTAGGAGGTTAAGGGTTCAAACCTCACCAAAGGTGAGAAGGGTGTGTGAATTTATTTGTTCTATTTGCCGTATATAAATATTATATACTTAAAAAAAAAATCTTCCACAATCTGTTTTCTTTTACTTTTCTTACTCTGAGTTTGTATTTAGGTATAGCAGATTCTAAGCTTTGATATCCAACATTAATATGAATTATTGGATATTGTAGAATAATCTCGATGATTGATAGGAATTTTAAACAACAATGCACGTCAAGTGTGTTTCCGTGTGTTTTATGAAAGCTGAGAAATATATGTTAAATGATATTTTTATATGTTCATTCATAAATGTTTATGCTATTTAGGACATATCTTGTATTATGTATTGTGTTGTGTTATGTATTAGCCATGCATAAACAATTTTACACGATATACAAGAATTGTTTAATTGGAACACACCTACATATATGCCTCGAACGATGACAACAGTTTATAAGTGGGGAATACGAGTCAATCACCTCTACACTTGGGAATAGAGTACGTGACCTATCTTGTATCAATATAAATCCACATGCATAGTAAATATTATGGGCCATTTTATGACGTGACACGAAAGTGGCTTCGTCTAAGATCAATAATCGTATGTATGTTTGTATACATGTATGTGTATGTGTGTGTTATAATGCTAAGATACTCTAATGATAATTATTTAGATCGAGTTGGTCTTTTTAAAGCCATCAACTCCTCATATCACAACCCAAGCTATTCGAGTCTAGAAAGGTTCGCTAACAATATATTCGTGAATAGTTTATGTTTATCTACAATTAAAATACGTACTTAACCACTTTCGTATATATAATATAAAATTAAACTTGATAATACTTATAGTAAATGAGATGCTAATGAAGTACATATATAGTAAAATACATATATCGGCTGATGACACCTCCCATGACTAGTCAAACTGTCAATTAAAAATCGGAACAAATTTTTTAAAGAAATTTTTTATACTCAAATATTACATAATGATATCATTAATGATTTTTTTTACATGTCATTAAAATTGTGTGAGTTATTTGTTGTATTTATCGTATATAAATAGTTATATATATATATATATATATACACACACACACACACATACACACTTGAAATACTATTATCGACTTAGATCACGTTAAAAAGCTAATATTGACTAAGATCACGTTAAAAAGCTTTTTAACCATTGTTTTTATAGTTTTATAAATACAAATTAGAGAATCTTATTTGTTAAAATATAAAAGAGATTATTAAAATAAACGACTTTTACATAATTCTCAATTATTAATTCGTTTCGAACAAGAATATATACATGTTTTAATGGCTAGAATCACTCATTCTTTCACGTTATTTTTTTTTCCTTTTCTTTCTTTTGCATTTCAACCAAAAAAATGATTAGTTTCTAGAGTAAATTATGAATTATGTCCCTAGGGTTTGTTGGATATTTCGATTGGATCCTCAAGTGAAATAATTACAAGGATGGTCATTATGGTTTTATTTTTATTATGAATCAGGTCATGTTAACGTCTGTTTAAAATATTAGTTAACTTAGAAGAATGCAAAACCATTGATATAAAATCCAGATTTGCACAAATGGTTTAAAAAGAAGTTTTGTTGTTAAGTTGTTCTTAAAAATGATGTATGTTTTTGACTTTGTTATTAAAAAATAGGTTTGTGTTGTTGATTTTGTTCTTCAAAAATGGGTTTTTATTATTGATTTTGTTCTTCAAAAACGGGTTTGTGCTACTGATTTGTTCTTCGATTGTTTTTTATGGGTTTGAATCTTTGTTTTTGTTTGATTTTGGGTATAGTTTTTGGGTCTACTTTTTGTTGGATGGGAATACGGAAAGAGATTGGCAAAAACAGGTTTGGGTTTAGAAGAGATAAGACCTATAGAAGACATAGGAATCTGGGTTTGATTCTTGAGTTTTTGAAATTGACAAAACTGGTCATTAAAACAACTACAAGTTTCATAACATAGTGAAAACATGAAAATGCCTCTGTATTAAGGGATATCTTAAACGACTGTTAACATGAGGGACCTTAAGGGACCTAATCAAAATTTTCACCAAACCACAGGGACAAAATTGGTAATTTACCGTAGTTTCTAACTATACAAGAAGTATAAAATTTATAATCAAAGATCCTTTGGCCCACTGATATCCAGACCTTTGGCTTCATGAGAGGTTAACGGTTCAATCATCATCAAAGGTGAAGAGGTTTGTGAATTTATTTGTTGTAAAGATTCATCTAAACCGCTAATAAATGTAAATCAAGGGCTATTATTAAACAAAAGCTTTTTTGTTATTTTATATAAATACAACTACCATATTTTGAGTAAAACCGCAATTTAGGGGCAAGATGGGAATATAACAATCACTATTCACAACCATCACCATCTATATTTGTGCTATCTGAGAATCGCGTTCCTACCAAATTCCACACAAACAAATCACAAACATCATCTTAATCCTTCAAATATACAATTACCTTCTAAATTGAGAATCCAAATGCTGTAAAATTGACATTAATGGTCCGCAAGCCTGTGAAAACAAAATGAATGTAACGACACGTTGTTCATATAAAATTATACCTTGTGAACACCCTGTTCATATGGTTATGCAATGTTTATATAAATTTTATACCTTGGGAACACCTCGTTCATATGATTTCGACGGGTTTAAATTTGAACAGGGGTAATATACAAATAATTGATCATTCACCTTGTGAACAACTTGTAGATTTAGTTTTGATGTGTTTGGATGTTGAAAAGGAATATGAGTGCTATATGTTATTAGAAATTTTTTGCTTTGTATATTTATACATTGTGATCATTGTTTATGCATCTTGTGAACACCTTGTTCACTTTATGAAGCGTCCATAGAATGCAACCAAGACTACTCATTCCTAGTTCCCAAAACAACATCGGTTTGATAAGAATCAAAGAAAAAGTTGGAGGTTAATGGTTTTTTTTTTTTTTTTGGTTTTAGGTCGTCAGAAAGCCCACAGAACCCTAGTTTCGCTTTTGTTTCCTGACAAACATTCGCTGGAATGGTGGCTTTCTCTTTCACAAGCGACAAGGAGGCAACCGGAATTACTCTTTCCTAGTTCTCAAAACAAAATTGATTTGATGAGCATCAAAGACGAAAATTCGTATGTTTATGGTTTATTTAATATCTTCCATAACCGATTATGTATTACATGACTAACATATAAATTGTCTAGTTGTCATGGAAATAAAGATTTAGTAAGATGACATTTTCATCTTAATTAGTGATTAAATTAAATTACTGAATTAGATAAGTTCTCATGGTTATTATAATATTTATGGAACTATAAATAAATTCTAACCTTGATATTTATACATGATGTAGAAAAATAACTAAAATATTTCAACTACTTAATTAACTAAATGTGCAACCTGCAAATAGATTTAGGAAGTAAACATGATGCTTGCAAATTGAACGATATATAACCTTTGGCTACTTCATATCGCCATTTCAACTCTCCATTTTTCTATTACTAAATGGTAATGTTTTATTAATATTAGGGTTAAATGCATGAAATAGCAACATACTTTCACAAAATTTCTTATTATGGCATTATACTTTTGTTTTTCTTTATTACAGCAATGTACTTTCAAATTATTTTTTATTAAGGCATTGTACTTTAAAAAATCTACCCATAATAGCAATGGGTAACCTGTTACCTTTTAAACAGGTTAACCTTTTGACTTTTTTGCTTGTGTGGCTTTAATGAGGTGATGTGGATG